TGACGACGGCGGCGGATGACGCATTAATCGCGCGACACAACTAATCGATGATGAAATTCGTTGCCAACGCTGTTGATTTTTAGTTGATTTTTATCGATTTTATCGATTCGTTGTTGCAGCCCTAGTTTGGACGCTGATTTTGTTTTATTACAATGCCTAAGGCTGAAAAAAAAATACAGCTCAGAAAAGGCACTGGGGCTTATTTTAGCTTGAAAAGCAGCAGTTTCACTATCTTTTATAGATTTTTGTTATTATAGGTGTATAAATTCTACATTTTGTTATATACACTGATACTGAAAAAAAGTGAAAAATACTGGCTTCATAAATGTTTTGGGGCCTGTTACGGCCCCCTGTATGTCTAGGGGAGTGGGGGCATAAACATATAGGCAGAAACTGGTATGTTCTTATAAAATTATGATTTATTGATAACAAGAGGTGCAAGCAATTAACAAACAAAAGGAGGGTGGGTTTGGGTGTTGTGAAAATAACAAAGTTAAATAAAAGAGCTCCTCAAAAGGAGGATTGTACGTAGCTACAGATTTAAACCAAAAGGGGATTCTTACTAAAAAACACAGAGCGCAGCACCCACTACACCTAATGTAACTAACAAAGAAAATACTCAGTGGTGCAATCAGTCCAGACTCTGGCCCTACCTCCACCCTCTTTCTAGCATCAAGCTAGTAAAGATGCACATTTGCCAAACACAACAAAATACTTGACACAAGCTACTAAGTACAAACCCCAAATGGGTAACCAAAAAGATAAGTGAGCTACTCCACTAAACAAACAAGCAGCTGCTAACCAACAATGTTTGGTTCACACGAGGCACACAAGTCAACTGGCTGTGAGAAGCTGCCTCAATCAACAGGTGAGGTCTCCTTATAAGCAGGAGCTGATTGCAGGTGGTGATGAGCCATTGGCTGAAGGTGGAGCTGAGGGAACCAATGGATGGGACTGAAGTCAGATCCCCAGAAACCAGGAAGTAGGCGGGTCTTTCCACAGGCCCATGCAGCCTACTTAGTAGAGGTGAGAAAGAGGGAAAATAAAGGAAAACACAAATATGACGGCGACAGCCGTAACAGGCCATCAAAATGCTTCAGTGTTATTCTGTGGGTCAAATAGTTGAGTGGGACATTTGGAGAGATTTGGAGACGCTGGTGACACCAAAAGTTCAAAACCTTACAGCTCTGTTCCAGTTACAGCTAGAGGTCTGAAATGTTCTGCATTTGTGGTTGACATGATGTAGAACACATTTAATACAATGAGACCTGCCTTTTTTCAAGCATATCTTCATTGCTGCTGTTCAAAATTGACCTATCATTTCCGAGAATAAAAACAACAACTTTGAGTCATGTTTGAACTGATGCAGTTTGGTCTGTGTTCTACTCACCCAATTTTCATTTATATATTCAGAAACTAGAGGGTGTTAGCTTTTAAATAATGTATCACACATGTAATTTAGGCTCACTGGTCCTAAGTTATTTGCTTTTCCATTTGGGCATGCAAAATAGGCGAGGATTACCCAAAATGAGGTGGATGTCAGGATCACATGCAGCGGGCCGTTAACAACATGAACACAGTCATGTTCACATGTTTTTTTTTCTGGTGTGTGCGCCTTTTTTCTTATGCTAAAACTCTTACCTTTAGCTATAAAACAACCTAACAGGAGTTATGGGTGGAATGTTGGAGGTATAAGGTGATAGAAACAGGAACATTTCGATAGAAAGTCAAACTCAAACCAGCTCCAGATGATCCTGTAGTCATGATTATCCCCTTTATTTCACCACCTGACCTCTACAGGCTTTAATGCAGAGCGGCCTGCTGCAGGGCAGGGGTTTGGTCCCTTCTGTGGCTCTTAGGGCAGATTTCCTCCAGGCTGCTGTGATGAAAGTGGGAGATCCTCAGCTGCTGCACAGATTCCCAGAGCAGACCTATGTAGCTGTGTTTCCATCTAAACATCGCACCAATTTTGAGTCGACATTTAAAATCTGAAAAAAAAAGGAACTTGATCGTGTTCTTATGTATTGCTAATAAATAACCGCTGACTTTAGATTTAAAGGCACGCCGTTTAACTTTTGGCCACTAGGGGGTCGTCTTGCTCTGCAGCTGTAAAATTACAACTTTAAAGCTGAAAGCAAAATGCTGAACATAGCTTATAATAATAATATTAATACTAATAAATGCAGCATAAAAACATAAAATAAGGCAATAATAAGAATTAGTTTGAGCTAAATAAACGTCACCACAACTAAGTCCTGCCAGTGTTAAAAGCCAGCGAATAAAAGTAAGTCTTGAGAACAAAGGTTAGAAGAAATTAAGCAGGGAAGGAGCCTCCTTGATGAGCAGCGGGAGGCTATTCCATAAAGATGGAGCAGCGATGGAGAAGGCTCTGGCCCCTCTGACATTCCTCTGAAAGCTCAGTCCCTGCAGGAGCTGCTATTCTGCTGGCCTGAGGGACTTTCTTTTTATTGGAGGCCACGCTAGACGTCAGCCTCCTCCAATTGTTAGGATAATTATCATTGATGTGTGAGTTTATTGCACCATGATATTGGCTGCCTGTTGCGTGGCAGAACTGATGTTTTCCACAATAGCTTATCTAACTATCTAAGGATATTTCCTCTGTCTGGATATAAAGTTAGAATCTTCATTCTGTACGTGGCAAATTTTTGGGAATGTAATGAGAGCGGCGTCCTTCAGCTAAGAAGGAAGTGTAATATTTTGATAAGGCTGGAGCCATGGATGTCATATAATCTGCTAACCTGTATGATGTAAAATGTGATGATGTGGCAGACTGGAGATGTAGAAAATGCCTTTTTAACTGTTAATCGGGGCCACTTCCTGAGAGGTGAGCAGCTGCCTTCTGTAAACTCTAAGCAACTTCTCTGATCTTAGTAAGATTACAATTTCTATCAGAATCTGCTGTCATGTCTTCTGGTTATTTAATACATCCATGTTATTAAGTGTTATTTAAAGAGTTTGTCCGGAGTGATCTCTTTTCAGAGAAAAGAACCAGAGAGATAGAGCTTCAAGGTGCAGACACAGAGCCTAGCTTTAACACAACCAACTCCTTTCCATGATCGACTCTTTCGTTTTTTCTCGCACACGATTCCTTTTCACGTTTTCTCCTTTTTAAGCCTCAGAAGGTTTAAACTTTTTCCTTGCCTCAGCCATGACCACTAGTCGAGCAGGCGGAAAAATAAAACAGCAAAAGCCTTATATAAGAGCCTGTGGGCTTAAAGCAATACGTTCTTCCGGGTCACATGACCTGGCCGACGATGGTGAGTCTTCTCCCAAATTACATAGTCGGTATTTCAAGAAGTGAGCCCCGCTCGCAGCATTGATAGTGTCAAGCTTAAAGTCCACGGCGTGCCTTTAAGTGTAATTCTGCGAGGTTAGGAGTTATTAGACACCGCAGTAGATGATGGGTCACAGAATATGGTATAACACCAGAGCAGCGGCAGGTTACAGTTTGATGGATGGAAGAACCCAGCAGGCCAATCCCTCTTAAAGAAAACCAGTGTTGGAGATTATGGCGCTGCTCTGACTGGTTCAAACCAGAACCCTGCCTTATATTTCCTTAGGAAACAATGAGCTCTGCTTTATCAGGATGGTTTTCATCATTATTACATTTCAAAGCACACAAGGCTGCAACCTAAACTGTTTGTTTTCTTGCTTCACTTTGTATTAGTTTGAATATTGAATGTATTAAATATGATGCAATATTAGCTTTATTTTGATAAAGAAAAACTAATACTTACACAAATACAAATTTTTAACACCAAAAGAACTTTGATTTTTCTAATAAAAAAAGAAAAACAAGGCGTCATATGAACAGAGTGGAGAACAGAGCGAGGCGGAGCAGCCTGATGACCACACTGTCTGTGTGCATTGTTTTCCAGGTGGATCTTCTTTCTCAGGTGAATATCTTACGCTTTGACACCTGGAGCTCCTCTGTGTGTGTTTTTTATTTTTTTAATCTGCTGGATAGAAGTTGGCCCTGAGGTTAAAGTCACGCAGCGATTTGTCCCTCTTCACCTTCGTTAGCTGAAACCAAAGCTGATCCTCTAAAAGCATCTTGTGGGCAACTTCATCCATGTGCTGATGTGACCTCCCCCCCCCTCCTCCTGTCTGCTTTTTGCATCGGTTCAGTGCAACAACCCTGGAACCATCAAACCTTCAGTGGCTTGCAAAAGTATTCACACCCCATTTTCATTTTTCTTTTCTTATTTTTGATGTCTCTGGCCCAAACGTAGGAGTTTTGGGGGGATTTTATGTGACAGACCGACACAAACTAAAGAATAATGCTACGAAAAAATGAAACCTGTTTTTTTTTTTTTTCTCTCAAAGCACAGAACAGGATTTATGAATAAACATTAAACATTTTTTTTTATCTAGAAATGAAACTTTCAGCTGTTTTTTAAACAAAACATTTTTTGAGAATGTTTTTTTTTTTTTTTTTATGGGCTTTTTTTCCCCCATTAATTAATTTTTCCAAAATTGTTTTTTTATTTTTCTTTATTCTGGTTTATAATTCATGTTTTTTGCTTTTCAACACGTATGCTCCAGTTGAGATTATCAGGGTGGGTTTATAAAAACGTTAAAGGTTTCTTTCCTTTCATGGTTGCGTTGTGTCGGCCTGTCAGATTCAATCCCAGCAAACGAAGCAGAAATAATCTGGTAATGAGATAAAATGAGGAAAGATTTCAGAGGTGTGAATGGTTTTGCAAATCACTGCAGCTTCTACACGTCTGGCTTTGCTGCTGAAAGGCTCTGCCGTCCCTCAGTGTGTTTGAAATGACGCCTTGCTTTCAGGGGGAAAGCAGAGCGCCATTTTTTTACCTGCTGTTGGCCTTCACCCAATGCTACTTAGCCTCATCTTCCTCACTTTAACCTAAACTTCTGTAAGGTTAAAAATAATCAAACGTTCACTTTTTCCTCACATAGGTGGGTTTCTCCAGGTAGGAGACTTGTTTACTAATATAGTGTTCAGTTTTAATTATTAGATCCTAATTCAGTTTTATTTTTTTCTTTTCACTCAGCTGATTTATTTCTTTTTCAAGTCTTCTGTAACTAAACCATTTTAGATCATCTAATGACCAAATGAGAACTCTAAGTTCTACTGCAGGAACCTGGTGCCCCCATTTTTACAAAACGTACCAGAAGTCCATAATTTGGTGAATTGTTTTAGAATAGTTTTCATTAGATTATTTTATTATAAAATGAAATGGCATTAAAATCTTTGATTTCAAGGCTCTTTGCATATATTACCCCAAATGTTGTAGGTAGAGATGTTTAATCACTCTTTGTTTGCTTGAGCATCTGTTTTTGCCAATACATTTTACACCTAAAGTTTAAGTTTAAGAACAGGGTTTCAGTGGGTCATTAAAAATCAGTAAAAGTCATTACATTATTATTTATTAAATTAAGGGGCATTTAAAAGGCTTTATTGCAAAAATGTTTATAAAAGCAATTTGTTAGATATATTGTGATATATTTGTGCAGAACTGCTTCCAGTTGATTGTAAAGCTGTATGTTCGGAAAAGAAGCTCGAGGCGGAGAAAAAGCTAGAGAATGGGAAAATGCTAATTTTAACAAAAGTGTCTGAAAAACGAGGAATTCGGGACATGGCTGCAGCCTGTTGACGGTAAAGATAATGAAGGATTTTGCCATGATATTTATATTTTTTATATATATATATATATATATATATATATATATATATATATATATATATATATATATATATATATATATATATATATATATATGAGTTTTATGAATTACGCACTTTTTTTTTAGATTCTCTTAATTTCTGGGGGCAGGTGTTTCTCTGCGCTGAGGCTTGATGAAGCATTTCTATTGGTCTGCTGGATGTTAGCAACAACATTTTTATTGGTCAATGTATACATCAAGTATAACGGAGTATTAGGGCCAGGCTACAGATTTTTTTTAAATTTATTTTAATTTGAGAATAAAGTCGTAA